AATATGAAATATTTAAATCCTGCAACATTGAGTGAGATTGCCTGCTTTAACTTGTCGACCCGGTATTAATGCGAAAATAGGAGTCTTAGCCATTTTGAAAGATTCGTTTTAATCAATAAGTAATTTAGAGCGCCTCATTATTCAACGGAGAATTACATTATTGGTTTTCAGTTTATGCATTAAGGGAAGATAAGGATTTGGATAAGTTTCAAAATTGGCTGACTTTAACTGAAGCTTTTAAATAATATGATTGATTTAACAATAGGACAAAATAACCTACTGTTAAACAAAAGACAGTGCATTCATCTGATTTTGGTTGACTACCATCTGCCAAAAACCAGGTATAATGTAAGCGGAAATGATTTGTTGTTTAAAATCCCTCTTAAAAAAGATTGCGCAACAATGCATAAGTTCAGATTACTATATTTTTACTTCCTGGGTGTGAGATAGACTTACCTCCATGTTGTGTACCCTGGGCAACGTATACTCATACGGCAAAAAAGTCTATTATTCGGCAGTTGACTTCTGACTTCAAACTGCCATGATCCCACTCTGTCATATTCCACCACTTCCACAGTATTCGCCTTACCCTACTCTCAACCTTTGTGTTTGTCTTTTTTACATCTTTGAAACACTCTTCTGTTACCAAAACCCCTCTCAACTTTTTTCACTTTGATGTTCCTTCCCCTCCGTGAAGCCCGAAGTCAACTGAAGGGTTAATGATATTTATCATAACGTCTGCCATTTGAACTAAATAAATATTTCTACTTCAAGAGTGTCTTACATTTTAAGGATAATAGTTATCATCACTGGTTTTCTATATTAATTAGCTTAACAATTTCTGTTTTAAACGATTTTAGATTTTAAGGTGATATTACACTTCGATGAGCTAAGGTCGCAAGATAATTAAAAGCAGTTGCTCTTAGAATATGTGAATGTCCGAATTCGGTCGAAGGAAGATGTGTATCTCGAGTTCTGCACACATAAGAGGTCATAAACTTACTAATCTTATTGTAAGTGTAGGTCAATTAAGGTTATGTGACCTCTCACTCACATCCCCCTCCTTCCTTCCCCCCTTTCGAATGACTCATTCCAATTCCTAAAGAAAATTTGATTAACTCTTGTGATACAATTAATTACTTACCATTTCCCGCTTTAATCAATGAATACTTGATTGCTTTATGGGACCTTCGTATTTGTTGTTTAAACGTGTACTTAAGGCATATAAAATGTCAACCACAAAAGTTTCGATTTAAAAGAGTTGTTCATTTGTCGCCCTATTGAATCAATTGAAATGACAAGGGTTTAAGCTCTTTAGTAATTCATGTTGCCTACCCACCTTTCCTTTACACTGAAAGCATTTAAGTTCCATTTTAACGATAAAAGTTACATTTTGAGTCCATTTTAATTGTTCAGCCGTTGCCATGGTTATTCAATGAGGGCATTATAACGGGAATGTTTATCGCAATTGTCATTTTGCAGGATGTCTCGGTGTAGATCGTCGAAACTTCCAGCTTATGTAGAAAGAGTACCACTAGCAAGGAGGAAGAAGCCGGATACCCGATTAACTGTAGGAGTAGAGATTGGAATGACATTATTGGCCATTTGTGCGGGACTATTCGTCTATTATCGATCGCACGAACTTCCATACTATGCCACAAAGTTATATGCCCACTTGGGTTCTTCTGTAAGTTAACTTTCACTGACTAATTTAGCAGATTCAGATAAATCTTTGTTGCGATAAGTTTTTCTTCTTATTGGCCTTCCAATCAGGCTAAACAGATTAAATTACAGAAGCACTTTTCAACTAATTGCCTTAAACCAAGAAGAGGGACTAGAGTGAAAGTGTTTAAATTAAACAAAAATAAAAGAAAATTCGCCCAATCTGAAAATTATGTGATAAAGAAAATTTCAAATTCATAAATCACGAGACCCAACCTTCTGATAGAAAAGTTTTTCCTCAATGTGGCTATTGTAATCGCGTTAAATGTCTTCTTGCTAATTAAGCCTCAAAAGTTGGTCAGGCAATTACCAATTTCCTGGTTTTTCTTAATCTATTCAGTATGTTTCAAAAGGAGTCTAAATATTAAAGTACATTCATTTTGTCCATGTATTTTTGCCTTGGTTATGATTATTCAATAAATCGATTTACAGTCAATTAGCCATCGGGTGATATTTTCTTTTCGACTACGGAGGAAAAGTGTTGGTGAATGCCTTTTCCTTCATTTAGTCTATATTTAGCCAGAAATTCCGAGGTCTAGCAGTAAAAGAAAGCATGAAAGCTTAATTTATTTCTGTTATTGACGTCATCGTCAATAAGATAAGGCATTGGCTCTAATTTCGGGAGTTGTTGGCAGGGCGCCTTGCCTCCGTTTTTTTGTACATTCTGACGTTCATTCAGTTATTATTCATAATGCTGGCGAGAAGAACTACGATTGCCAAAGTTTTGACGATTTCATTTATGGTTTGTTGCAGTAAATTGTGCAATGTTCGAATACTCTCTTTTTAATTACCTTAATTGATTATAATTGTGGTACTCGACACAAATAACTAAAACAGGGGTGGTTTGGAGAGGGAGGGGGGGGGGGTAATTGTGGAGATACCTTATTAAGGGATAAAGAGCAATAAAAATAGAGAAGTTACGAATAAAGAAAAAAGCCCTTTCTTTTTTGGTTTAAAGCTGTGAATTTTTTAATTAAATGGTTCGATTTTTAAGCTTCGTCCACTGGGTTCTGTAATGCCAAGAACTTGAAGTTCACTCAATTTTTTAGACTCATATAGTATTTATTTCTTATAATAGAAATAGTTTAAAAGGGTCACACTAAGATTGAATTCGATTAAGATTGATGTAAGTTTATGAGTAGACAGGTATACGTGCGTCTAGTAAAATCAAATAGTAAATACAAATTTTTAAGTAGTCTAAAATTACTCATTCGACATTCATATTGTTTATGCCAACATGTTATTTCTTACCCGTGATGCATAATCTATTCTGTATGCAACGGGTTGATGTCCCACTTGAAAGCACCTTTCTTATCAGTTAATCCTGACCTTTATTGCATTTTCACGAACTTTCAAACTCAAATACTACTTCTCTTGTTCTGTTTTCCATTTTTCCTTCGAAGTTGGCGATGAGGATTCTAAAGCAAATTGTCTTCTCCAATTCGTACACTTTTATGAAATACTGAACGCAGCTTTTTTCCAAAGCTTTGATTGGCCATTTGACTTCAGTACTTACTCTTTGCACTCTTCACTTTAGCGAGCAAATCTCTTTTGAGTAATTTTTACTGCTGAATTGTTTATTCCCTTAGTGAGATTACGTTAATCACCTACCACGTATTTAAACTAACGGCCAAAATTGAAATTACTATTATTATTATTAAAATTGCTTTCTTTCAAGCAGGAAATAGTCTCCTAGATTTAGGCCTGGAAAAGTAAATAAAGTAAACAATGAGTGTCAGTGAGGAAACGCAATACGTTGATAGCGAAATTAAGACACTAAAAGCATTGAATTCGGAAACGCTGAGCTGTCCAAGTTCACACAATCTGAAAAATTGACAAATTCCGATCTACATCGCAACCCCCCCCCCCAAAAAAAAATTTATAAGTGGAATTATTTCCACGATATCACAAGAACTTGGCAACTGCTGGGTTTATTTTCGTGGATAATCGTGCCACCTCTATCTATTTGAATCTTGTTTTTTTGTATTGGAAAGGTGAGGCTAGCAGTAATATCTTCAACATTGGAAAGGGCACTATAGTTAACTCAAGGTGAACTGATACGTCATGATTCCCTTGAAAATCTTTTATCTGGCAAAATAATAAAACAAGTATAGAAAGAATCTTAAAAATCTACTTTGTCCTTTTGGACAGAGAGAATAAGGACACATAATTATTGATTGAAGAATTGAATTTCAAGCATCAAGTCATATTAATGAGTATGGAAAGACACTTGCTGCTTACAATACAATAAGTAGTGGCTTATATCTTCAGGGGCTTGGCCCCAAGGCCTGTCAATTGGACATCCAATAGAGAAGAGTCCTGAGCTAGGTTCATTCGAATTGTGACCTTAAGTTGGGTACATTACTGCATTTAGGAAAGTTGTTTATTGTTCGCCATGGGCAGGAGGGTAGTAGCATAGAGACACCCTAATGTCATTTCGCTATGGTTCATAAGGAGGTAAAAAAAATAATGATTTGTTAACTAGCACGAAAGTACATTCAACTGTAGTGAGTTAGGTTGGAATAGGTAACACCAATCTTATGAAATCTAAAATGTACGACTACTTAATTGATTGATTGATTTGACGCAATCACTCAATGTCTAAAAGTACGTGTGTGTGTGTGTGTGTGTGAAGGTGTTTACAACCTATCATTTCGAAATTAGTGTGTATTTAATCACTGTTAAGATAGATTTATTAATTTGGGGTATAAATTTATCAAAGCCTATGAATTTCATCACAGTTTATGGAGCCGTCACAAACTTCAAACCTCGTTTAACTTAAACTCTACTCAAAAGTAATTTAAGAAGGTATTAATTAATATCAAATGGCAGGCGTTTTGATAGTTATCATTAGCCCTTTAGTTGACATCAAGCTTCACAGAGGGGAAGGAACATCAAAGGGAAAAAATGTGAGAGGGGGGGGGGACAGAAGAGTGTTTCAAAGATGCAAAAGAGACAGTCACAAAGGTAAAAAAAGGTGAGGTAAGTAGTATGGAAGTAGTGGAATATGACTTACAGTGAAGTTATGGTAGTTTGAAGTCAGAAGTCAACTGCCGGTCTATTGACTTTTTTGTCGTATGAGTATACGTTGCCCAGAGTACACCGCTTGGGGGCAAGTCTATAACACATTCCAACTTAAGAATATGGATTTACAGATAAAAGTGATTAGCATTTTTTCGGTGACCACTAAGAATTCTCTTCCGCTCATCTGAAGGCAACTGTTTGTTTAAATTTTTCCCATTACTGCTGTTGACAACAATATAAGTCTTGCCAATACATAATAAGTTATCATTCAACATGGGTGGATATTTACGAAATTGCAAAGTTTTCTGACTAAACTATTATATAATTTGAGCTCAGAAGTCAATCGCACCTAAAAATGGTATAATTTCTCATGAAGAGTGAAAAAAAAACTATAAAAATTTAGGCGAGCGAATCAACATTGGGCTGAACCTAAACTTGAGACTTGTGTGGAAATTTTATTGATATTCTTAAACATTTTTAAAGAATTGGACCCGATGTTTGCAAATAATTTCATTTATAGTTGTGATATCATTTATTTCATCTCACTTCCTGTTGCGTTAGAAGCTATACTCATTCTAGGAATTATTTTGTATTTTATTAACTCCAGAACATGCCATTTTACAATGGTTACTAACTTGCAAAGGCGTTGAGGATACATCATTACCATATACATTTCAAGGAGATACTAATACCACAATAAATCATTTGCCCATATTTTAGTTTTTAACACGCAAAGGTCTAAAGAGAGTTATTCATCTTAGAAATTCTAGTAATGTAAATTACCAACCGTAACAACAGAAGAGAAAGCAGAGTGTTGTGACTCGTAAAAGAAGCTTCTTGATATCGTGAGGAAATTATTGTCTAGATTGGTTGAATATTCACGCATTCACTGGTTGGCTTTAAAAACCGTGACTTATGTCTATTTGGTGACACAAATATTGGAAGTTGGGGTGTGCGATAGACTTACCTCCACGGGGTGCACTCTGGGCAACGTATACTCATACGGCAAAGAGTCTATTGATCGGCAGTTGACTTCTGACTTCAAACTACCAAGATCCCACTGAATTTCATATTCTACTAATTCCGCAGTACTCACCTTTTTTTACCTTTGTGTCTGTCTGTCTCGCTTACGTCTGTGAATCATTATTCTGTCCCCCTCTCGACTTTTTGTCACTTTGGTGTTCCTCTACCTTTCTGTGAAGCAAGAAGTCAACTAAAGGGCTAATGATACCTATCATAACGCTTGCCATTGGAAATAAATAAATAAATAAATATTGAAAGTTAATTTAGTTACTTAAGCTGGAGGGCTATCAACTTCCGGTACTGACGAAATTTAATGAAATCTCAATTTACAACTTTGTGCTAGTGTGTCAGATGTGATGACAAAATTGTCTCGTGCTCTCTCCGCAAGAATGAATTGGCACTATTTACCCCACTGCAATTAATGAGTAAAAGCAATACTTATGTTTGCATTAGATCCGGCGTTCACTTTTCGAGTAAATTTAGGTTTTCAAATCTTCCAATGTCAAACTAAACTCCACTGAAAGTTTTTCTGACTTTGAGTTACTAGTTTAATCTAAAAGCCCCAAATCGCGTCTGAATGCATCTTGTTGGGAGAGGCTAAATTTAGAGCGTCAATGAATGACCTTGAGGAAGTGTGCCAATGGATAGTGCAAATCTGAATATTTCATTTAGGGCAAATATTTGTCCCTATTTGGAACACCGCTTTTGTTGTCGCTCTTTTCGCACAGAATTACAAACCGCAGTTATTGTTGTTTTTAACTACTTATTTATATCAAATGGCAGGCGTTTGATAGTTATCATTAGCACTTCAAAGGCGAAATCGGTTAAGCGCATAACAGACACCGGTTCGCCTCTTCCCACAACCCGGGTTGTTCACTTATGATTGCCCCAAGATATTTATTTGTTTATTTATTTCAAATGACAGGCTTTTTGATAAATTATCATTAGACCTTTAGTTGACTTCAGGCTTCGCAGAGGGGGGGGGAGAGAACAGCGATTCACGAACGTAAAAAAGACAGACAGACAGACACAAAGGCGGAGAAGAGGTAAGATGAATACTGTGAAGAGGTATTTATTTTTTTATTTCAAATGGCAGGGCTTTTGATAGCTATCATTAGCCATTTGGCTGACTTCGGGCTTCACAGAGGGAAGGTTCATCAAAGTAGCAGAAAGTCGAGGGGTGGGGAATAGAAGAGCGATTCACAGATGTAAAAGAGGCAGACGGACATAACGGTAGGGAAAAAGGTAAGATGAGTACTGAGGAAGGGGTCGAATATGACAAGCAGTTGGGCCATGGTATTTTGAAGTCAGAAATCAAATGCCGGTTAATAGACTTTTTGCCGTATGAGTATACGTTGCCCAGGGTGCACCACGTGGAGGTAAGTTTATCGCACACCCCCTGTTTATAAATATGCAAGTTGAATAAAAATAATAACCCTCTCCCCGGTGATGATCTTCAGATTTTAAAACAATTAAGATCGAAAACAAACTGTTCGAGTAAGTGAGTAACTTCAGGCGATGATATTTTTGTCTTCACATTTATTTACTTAGAGCGTGGGCACTATATCTTCAATTTCACAACGTATTATTTACTTGCAAGGTAAAGCATAGGAATATATAATATTCATTACCTATAGTATATTTTCATTATCTACAGTGGAAGGCAATTTAAATTTTTATATATAATAATTTATATCTTACTCTGTAAAGAATAAAAAAACCAAAATCATCCAATTCAAATAGTTTATACCTAATATTATCATATATTAGTTAATTAATTGATTTTATCATGCCAAGTTGTGGAATGACGTTTAAATATAAAAGGTGAGTCTAATAGGTCACTTCAATTTGCCCTAATTGCTAAATTAATCTGATCATCACTTAAATAATGCCAAGTCCGTACATTCAATGATCATCTCGGGGATATATATATATATATATTTAAGTAGCAAATGGGAGTAATATTTTGTTGTTAGCTAGTTTCTTAATGTCCTTTTCAACCCAGAAGACCTCTGCAAATGGAAACCTCTCTCTCTCCCTCTCACTCACTAAAGTAGGTATGATTGAGTGCATGTATAAATCATCAGAATATTTAATAGAACATAAACAGCTAAATTGCAATAAATAAAATAACCCAACTCCGCTATCATCAATCAACATAAGCACTAACTTCCGCAACGACCTGTCACCATCTTTGTATTCAAACGGTGGATGGTTCGGGTGCTTATGAGCGCGCCTATTACTTGGTAAGCACATGAACGTTTGAATATTTGCGGATCTATCGAAGTAGTTTAGCTTTAATCATCCGAATTAATATACGCAGTAATGACCACTAGTGATATAAAGAACTGGTAGCCTTAAGCTCCATCAACCAATTTATTTCATTTAAATATGAGTATTCAACCGCTTTTGTAAATTAGAATACAATTAACTTGAGAAATTATAATTTTATTTACAATGATCTATACGTAGCATGCGTTAATACAGCTTCGTTAGGTATATTCAGGAGCGTAAGGTTTGCAATAAGGTACCCAATTCAATACACTGACATATTCAAACATTCTCCCAGAAGTGGAATCAAATTAAATACTCCTTAAATTATCTATGCAAATCAATTTTTACACCATTTTTTGGCTAAGAAATCCACTTTTATCTTTCAGAAATCAGGATTTGAAGTGAAAACTATTTTAAAGTCACTGATAATTTTACGCTCACCTTTTTGGGGAAATATTCAATTTTCTATGCCGAACAAAGATTGAGATAAGGGGGGGGAGGGGGTGTGTGATAGACCTACCTCCACGTGGTGCACCCTGGGCAACGTATATTCATACGGCAAAAAAGGCTATTAACCGGTAGTTGACTTCTCACTTCACAAAAAATTATATTAACTGGCAGTTGACTTCTCACTTCAAACTACCCCGTCAATTACCTGGCAGTTGACTTCAAACTACCATGATCCCGCTATTAACCGGTAGTTGACTTCTGGCTTCTAACTACCATGACTCCACTGTATGACATATTCGACCACTTCCACAGTACTACATCGCATTTTTTTTAAATTTTCAACCTTCGTCTTTGAAACACTCTTCAGTTCCCCTCCTCTCGACTTTTTTCACTTTGATGTTCCTTCCCTCTGTGAAGCCTGAAGTCAACTAAAGGGTTAATGATAACCATCAAAGCACCTGCCATTTGATATAAATAAATAAATAAAAGATTAAGTTAATTGAATTCCTGTTTTCGATTCTTCATTTTGAAGTATTAAATTCAATGAAAATATTTATATTTTGCTATCTAGTCTACAGTGTGACTTAAATAGTAAAGGGTACAATTAAAAGACCTCTGAACTTGTGCGAGCAAACTTGCACTTGCAACTGCAATCAGAGAACATATCGATCGATTAGCCAAAATGATAAGAACAGGTCGATAGCCTAACCTACCACAGAATTAATTAACACTCGTTTTACTGCTCTCTTTAGGAGGCTCAGCACATATTGGCTCAATATCACCTCAGTCGGAGACATGAGGATCCTGAACACGCTAGACAGGCAGAACATTGGCTAAATAAAGCAGCTGAATCTGAACATCCAATAGCTGCCTACAACCTAGCCCTGGCGCATATTCGGGGGGATTTACCCTCAAATATAACTCCAGATGCCAGCCATGTTCATAGTCTTCTGACTCATGCAATTAACCAGGGGGTACATGAAGCTCTGGGACTTATCCACATGTGTGGACATGGCCAATGCTTCGCACATCAGAGAAGGAAGAGGGAGCAGGAGAGAAAACAGCGAGAAGAGGAGAGGAAAACGAAGGCTTCTGTTGCAAAGCAACCATGATTCGACAGTTCTTACCGATGACATTCATTCACATTACACATCTTAAAATAGTTTACTTACTTATTTAAACATTACTTTAACTGGTGTCGGTCTAGTCCATATGCATATCAGTAAACTGTCAGTGTTTTATTCTCGCTTGCTTGCCATCTTATGAACTGAGTGTCTTGATTTAGGGTTGATATATATAGATGTGTGCTTGTATGGTAGGCGTTATGATAGTCATCATTAGACCATTAGTTGATTTCTAGATTCCCAGTACCTGGGTTTCTGTCGTTGTCTGTAGGGTTTGATACCGTATCTGGTGGGTTTTCTCCATTTCCTCTTGTAGGCCACTTAGGGGACATGTTGGTAGGGCGTGTACTCCTATTGTGTGAGGGTGCTTCACAAGGCAATCTGTTCGGGACGCAGTCTAAACTCTGGAATAGCTTCTGTTCTTGACCAGTCGGCTATGTTGGAGAATGCCGCTGCCAACTGTTTTTCCTTTATTCGAGCATTAAGTTCGTTTCCTCTTGAAGTATTGAATGTGCTAATGATTATGGTCTTTATTGTGTGGAAAGGCATTGGATGGTCTATAGCTTCCGAAACTGTGGTCTACTTCTTACCAAGTGCCTCCCCTGAAGATTAATGGCTCCAGGTCTTCACTGATGGGTCATGCCTAGAAAGCCAAGTAAATGTAGGTGCAAGTGTTTACTTTGAACCATTCTCTGTATTCGCATAGCCGGGACAAAAACAACCTGCATTCGAAGGAGAAATAGAGGTCATTAAGATTGTATTAGCCCAATAGTGCTGCCAGTATACTAAATTCACCAACGCAGTAAGATAATTAGTCATTTGAAAACAGAGGACCATCAAAAACAGCTGAGTTTCACGAATTTAAAAATGCTTTACCAGTTACTAAAAGGAAAAAAACAAAACCATAGTTCTTCAGTGGTTCCCTGGACACTGTGGCAACAGATAATATGATCTTATTAAAAATTTTTTTCAAAACTACTGTAGACAAGAACATTTCAGTTGATTGAAAGGCTCTTTTGAAACTAATACCAAAGGTACTAACCACGTAGAGAAAAGTAAGATGAAGGAACCCCGGAGTTTTTATTCTTTAAATGAAGATTGTTATTGAAAGAAACACCCCCCCCCCCCCAAACCGGAGCCGTCTAGCTCATAAGTCTACACTTTCCCACTCCTCTTACTGAACAAAAATAAACTGATCTGTTAGCCAACCGTATCAATTAATGCACACAAGATAATATCTATCTTGTCAGCTCGAACACGGTATACGTTGACAGCGCGCCTACACCCTGCCCGTTCGTAAGACCCTTTCGGCTTGGTACCTTCAAGAACCTTCGAATGGAAGCTGACAGTTTTCAACATGAAACAAGAAACACAGGTACCTCACGAAATAGTTCCCATTTGGTTAATGAAAGAAGGCGTACTTCATTGACTGTTTCTCTTCGAAAATTCAAAACGACAATAGTGGGACTACTATATCGGCTTTTTAAAATCAAGGTAGGCAACTTTGGAGTTTAAGACCAGACTTAACGAACTTTGGCAGGGAAAAGAGATTGAAAAACAGGTTTCCACATTGAGAGAAAAAAAGATGAAAATTGCTAGCTTGCCAATAATTTTGACGTCAGGACGCATAGTCTAATCACCTGTTATGGTCTCGCTTGGCTGTTTTGATGACCCTTTGAACCTTTACGTCTGTCTGCAATTAGCCTTACTTTTGGACCATTGTTTCAAAAGTAATTGAATTAAACAAAGTCTATCAAGGGGCTATGTACGAACTAAACTTATTTAATTTGATAACTGTGGCTTCATTTTGGTCCTAATTTGGAGTCCATAATTTCTGTTATCTGATTCTACTTTATCATTTACTAGACATTTGCTTTTTTCAAATGACAGGCGTTTTGATGGTTATCATTAGCCCTTTAGCTGACTTCAGGCTTCATAGAGGGGAGGAACATCGAAGGGAGAAAAAGTCGAGAGGAGGAACAGAAGAGTGTTCCAAAGATGTAAAAGGGACAAACAGATACAAAGGCAGAGAAAAGGTAAGACGAGTACTGTGAAAGTGGTCGAATATAACTTACAGTGTGGTCATGGTAGTTTAAAGTCAGAAGTTAACTGTGAGTCTATAGACTTCTTGCCGTATGAGTATACGTTACCCAGGTTCACCATGCGGAGATAAGTCTATCGCACAGCCCTTATTAGATAAAACTGCATTCAATAATTTAAGCTATTCCTGAAGGAAATAGACTATTTTTAAATGGTGTGTAAATTTATGTTTTTAAGTATCCATCATATTTTAATCTAGAGGAGAAAATATGGCCAGAAAATTGGAACAAAACAGAAATTGGAAGCATTTGACTTCAAAAATTATAACTCCTTAAGGTAGATTTTTAAATTGTTTCCTGAATTCGTTCAAACGAAGGTATTTATTCTTCACTTATCTTAGCTTACTATTATTAATCGATGTCGCTATTGACTGTGTCTCCGATTAAACGATTTTTGAATTACAAGGATGAGTTGTGTATTCGTCCATGCAAAATTCAGTAAACAGAAAGGAATTATAAAGCACAAGTTTTCACAGCTAAAGTTTCAGCATTTCTTTCGAGATGGAACAGTGATCAATTCCACTCTTATTGTTAAGTTCGTTTCAGGTAAAGAAATAAGTTCAGTCAATATTTATTTTAGACTCATCTCAGCACCATTTTCTCCAACTAAATAGTCCTACTCAATTGACCGCCCTACCAATTGGATTGAGTTTCAATAAGCGTCACCAAATTATATCCAATTATTTAAGTTTGTAAAAACCAGTCGTTTCAAGACCACTAAGATATCAATTATTTTCTTTCTGAAGGAACTAGTAGTTCTGTCTATTTGATAATTAAGTCGGGTTTAGCTGTATTCAAGTGAAGGCTAATTTCAAAGGACATCGCTTGTATAATGAACTGTTCTCGATAAATTAGTTACCTTTCGGGGTCACGGTCTATGTGTGAAGAGAAAGGAAAATCGGTTTGATTAATGGACTGATTTCATAAAAAGATGCTTTTTCTCTTCTCCACTGTGAATCATAAACGCTAAGGTTTTACTTTTATATAAACAGCGAAATTACTAATTCAAATTTAATCCAGTAACTTATTTAAAATGACGTAAAAAGCTTTAAATTATCGCATTAAAATCTTGGACGTTTTATGGACTCAATTGCACTCGAAATACGAAGTGACTTGAAATTCAATTCTATTGGCAAAGTCTTCATTCAATATTCCGAATTTGTAATATTCATTTATCACTGCAAGATGAAATAAATCACTTTGATTGTCAGACAGTAGATGTCCCATGGAATCAGCAAACCAGTCTAGTAGGCGGTTAAGGAGAAGTGAAAGAATGAAGATCAGGATATCAAAAAGTGTCTATTCAATAAATTTGGAATAGTGTTCTTAGTTGGTATATTTCTCTATTTCATGTTTCAGACGTCCTCTTTCTGAGCGAATTAATTGGGCGTGTAGCGCTGTGGTTACTATGCCCCCCTCACCCCCTCCCCCCCCCAGCGGTCATTAGATCGATTCTCACTGGTGCGTATTCACTGGCTAATGTCAACACAGGGGTTGCCAAAAAACGAGAGTTGGTAAAATACTTAACTCTCCCCCCCCACACCCCTACTCAAGTATGGAATAGTGATAAGGATTTGAGCAAATCCAAACTCTGCTGACTAAATTCTCCACTCCTTCCAGAATTGTAAGAGATTAATAATAATATAGTATTCATTTTTCTGATTAGTATAATATACACGTCCTTAATAAATAATAGGCCAATATACTTTCGAAGGTATATGTGGATTTGGCTATCATATATTTGAATGTCCTCATTATATATATTCTGATTAGACTTATGCATTATTTATTTAACCAAAGGTGCATAAACAATACCCAACGGATTCCAACTAACGTTTAACTAGCGCCCATTAAACTGAAGTAAATAAGATCAATGAATTTGAATGTGGTATTGGGGCCAGTAACCTCGTTGCACATTTCTATATGGCCTTAAATGCATAGACTTACTTATTCTGAATAAGGTCGAACGGCCATAGGTTTCAAACGTTATCGCCCATATTACCTCTTAATTAGTTCAATTACTTACACCACCAAAAGAGATAGTAAATCGGCTTAAATAACCTTCCATCTCAATCACCGTTGAAGGCTTTACTATTACTAATAACTTTAACTGTACAGATTTATTTAGCCGCAATCAATGTAAAATCGAGCCTAAATTCTTTAATTCAACAATTTACCCAGGACCCAAATCTTTATTTTAGTTTCAAAATTTAAGTTAGGAAGAATGGAATTTCGAGTAAAGTTAGCCATCTTATTGGTATGTTTAATTGGTAATCGGTACATTTAAAGACCATTGACCGCATTTAGGCACCCCGAAAGTACTTAGAAATTTTGTTACCTGACCAAGCAATATATAATTGAAAAACAGAACGAGGTTAATTACATCGATATTAGATTTATTAAAATTTATCCAAATCAGTGTTATGAATCGAGTTCTTATTAATTTGCAAAGAAGGAGATGAATTGAGACCGATTTAGTTAAAATAAATGATTACATTAGTATTCGTGGGTGATTTTTTTCGTTTAACACATGCTGAGTCTCAATTATTGATTAGATTTGTACTTTAGATCGTTAGTGGGGCTATACGAACTCTCGCATTTACTGCATTTAGTGTACTTTTATTCTACCAGAAGTCCTAACTACGTAATGAACTAGACCAACTAATACGTCTACTTTAATATAATAACAATCACTGCTGTTAAGATAATGAGAGGAAAGTGCAACGAATATTTATAGTCTTCAACTTTTAGCTATATTTTGAAATCCTTATTCGAGAAGGAGGGTGTGGGGGGGGGGAACTAACTCTAACGGGTGAGGGGAGCTGCGACGTTGGTTAAACAGGTGATAACCTGCATGTCAGTGACGTCAAAAGTCGAAAGTTCGATACA